TTCAACGGAACCAGCAGAACTAAGCAGAACCAAACAGATCCAGCAGAACCAAACAGATCCAGCAGAACCAAACAGATCCAGCAGAACCAACCATTCTCTCCAGGTTGTTTAAACCGGGTCGGTTCTTCACAGCACAGAGAAATAAATAAATAGAAGTGAAGTGGAGCCGATCATCTGGGCCGGTCCGATCCTCCCCTGGTTCTGAAACGGTGCCGTCTGGTTCAGGTTGTTCTGGACTCTGGAGAGCAGAACCTCAGCAGGCATCAGAACCAGGCGGCGCCGCTCAGCCTGCTGATGTCATCGCTCTACATGGCATTGATTTCCACCCAACATCAGAGCGGTTCTGACCCGATCGGGTTCCCCAGCAGACCAGAGATGTTCTCCCTCAGGGATCCAGAACAGATCCACTCCGGGTGGTTCTGTTCTGACCCACCCACAGGTCCTCTGTGGATGAAAAGGCCAAAAAGTTCTGACAGAATTAGAAACGGTTCTGGGTCCATTTTTTTGGGTCTGGTACCGACTGATGTTTTCAGTCTTCAATCTTTTATTTCTGAGGTTTTTAATCAGAACCAAGAACTAAAACAGAAACTACTGGACTGATGGAGCTGACCCGCTGGCCCGGTTCTGGGGAACCAGAACTTCCTCCTAAGAACTTTAATAGCAGGAGACCTTAAAGGTGTAGAGGAGGTTCTGGGGGGATCATCCAACCGGGTTTCTGAGTGTCATTAAAAATCATTTAATTATTTTTTAAATGAAGGCTTTAATTGACATTCAAATTAATTAAATGTGAATATCCCGGCATTTCAAATTCTTTAATTAAAAAATAACAATAATAAAAAACTGTTTCATCGACTATATTATCTCAGATATATCTGGTTCTGCGAGTTTGCGCGGAATTGTTTCCGGTTGATCGTAAAACCGTTTGTTCGGAAAAGAAGCTGGAGGCGGAGAAAAAGCTGGAGAACGGGAAAATGCGAATTTCAACAAAAGTGGCTGAAAAACGAGGAATTCAGGACATCATGGCTGCAGCCTGTCCACCGTAAAGA